CCCCCCCCCCCCCGCCCTCCTTGCAGTTAAATCCTCTTTTAAAAAATTCTACCCCTCCCTCTTTCGGCGGGGTTCTCGAACATCTCCCCCGCCCCCACTCCCTCCGACTGGGCCACTCCCAGCAGAGTTTTATTTTTCGGTCTTGCCCCGGCCGGGCCCGGCCGGGCGGGAGGCTCAGCCGGGCTCTCAATCGGCGCTGCGCCGCCGCCGCCCAGCTGCGCTGGGGCGCCCTCCGGAGATGCTGCCGTGGAGGAAGCACAAGTTCGAGCTGCTGGCCGAGGCGCCGCCACGGCAGGCGGCCAAACCCAAGGGCTACGCGGTGAGCCTGCACTACTCGGCGCTCAGCTCTCTGGCACGGGCGTGCCCCGAAGGCGCGCTCAGCCGGGTGGGCAGCATGTTCCGCTCCAAGCGCAAGAAGCTGCACATCACCAGCGAGGACCCAACTTACACCGTGCTCTACTTGGGCAATGCCACCACCATCCAGGCGCGCGGCGACGGCTGCACCGACCTAGCGGTGGGCAAGATCTGGAGCAAGAGCGAGGCGGGCCGTCAGGGCACCAAGATGAAGCTGACCGTGAGTGCGCAGGGTATCCGCATGGTGCACGCCGAGGAGCGTGCGCTGCGCCGCCCGGGCCACCTGTACCTGCTGCACCGCGTTACCTACTGCGTGGCGGACGCGCGACTGCCCAAGGTCTTCGCCTGGGTGTACCGGCACGAGCTCAAGCACAAGGCGGTAATGCTGCGCTGCCACGCGGTGCTGGTGTCCAAGCCCGAGAAGGCGCAGGCCATGGCCCTGCTGCTCTACCAGACGTCAGCCAACGCTCTGGCGGAATTTAAACGGCTCAAGCGGCGGGACGACGCGCGTCACCAACAGCAGGAGCTGGTGGGCGCGCACACCATCCCACTAGTGCCCCTGCGCAAGCTGCTCCTGCACGGACCCTGCTGCTACAAGCCGCCGGTGGAGCGCAGCCGCAGCGCGCCCAAGCTCGGCTCCATCACCGAGGATCTGCTTGGCGAACAGCAGGAGCAGGAGCTGCAGGAGGAAGAGAGAGGGGTGCACACGGAGGGCTGCCCGGAGGAGGAGGAGGGGGTTGAGGAGGAGGACCGAGCCGGGGAGGGAGACCCGGCAGAGCAAGAGGCCGAGGCGCAGCGGGCGCTGGTGGTGGCCATGCAATTCGAATGCGGGGACTTGCTGGACACGCTGGAGAGTGGCCGCGAAGAGGCGCTGGGGGGCGGCGGGGTCTCGCCGGGCCCTGAGGCTGGGTCGCCGTCTCTGCTGCTGGGCAGCACCTCCGACATGAAGGCCGAGCTGTCCCAGCTTATTAATGATCTGGGAGAGCTCAGCTTCGGCAACGACGTGCGCAGCCTGCAGGCCGACTTGCGGGTGACGCGCCTGCTGTCGGGTGAGAGCACGGGTAGCGAGAGCTCCATCGAAGGAGGGGGCCCGGAAGCTACCACTACCACCGCCGGGGACCAGTCCGACCCCGCCGACTCCGCCAGCCCAGACGAGCCCCACTCGGGCTGAGCTTCCAGCAACGTCCTGTGCGCGCCCCTGTTGCCGCATCGTGACCCACCCCCCACCCCGTCTCTCCACCACTTCCTTACCTTCCCGACCCCCCCCCCCAAGAAAGGGGAAAGGGGACACTTGAGGCCCAGACCCTCCCCCACCCCCATACGTTTGGCTCTGTTTGAAGCAGGGCTCAGATTGCACGTGGAGATACGGGGGAGGGAAACCCTACAAGGAAGGGGAGAGAGGCAGCCCTCTGGGGTCTGGGGAGGGGAAAGGCAGCTGGTGTTAGCAAAGCCCCGCAGGCGTGAGGTGCCTGCTGGCCAGTTTCCTGTTTGTGGGCAGCTGGGGCCTGAGGAGGAGGGGTTAACTTCCTTCACCAGCCCCCAACTGGGAGCGGCCTGGCGCTGTCACTGACATGTCATTTAAAAAAAAAAAAAAAAAAAGGATTTGCTCTCAACGTTTGAGGCTTTAGTGCCACCTCCTTGCCCCCAGTCTTTTTGGTGCGAGAGCTTGGGTTGTTTACCTCAGACTCAAACCCTTGAAATTCTGCCAAATTCCTCAAATAACTGGTGGGGAAGGGAGGGGGGGAGAAAGAAAGTTGCATTTTGTTTACAGTTAAAGACATCTAATATCTAAAAAAGGAGTTTTCCTTTGGAAACACACACACCTTGCTTCTGCTCAAAAGATCTCACTCCATGATACTGTGTAAAATATTTTTGCACTGTTTTTTTTTGTACATAACTGTTCTCAGAGTCCAATGTTTATATCTTTTGCTGTGCAAAAGGGACATGTAAAATGTTGTTCAGTTGTATATACAGAAATGTGTATAAAACATTTTGTTATTTTTAAAGAGTAGCACTGCTCTGGTTCTGTTTGCCCACCAGTGGGGAGAGAATAAAGAGGAAAATTTAACAGAACAGGTGAGTGTCTAGACCTGCTTCAGAAAATGCTTGGCCGTGGGGCTGGGCGGCAGAGGGTGTGACCATGGCTGGGATGGAGTGGGAGGACAGTCATCGTCCTTTGCGGGGCTTGGAGGTAATTAGGGAAGGGGAACCCACTTTATGCATAGCCTGGGGCCTTTGTGGTCCTGTGCAACTCTGTGTGCTGCAGCTGGGGCCGTGTTCTTCACTTCTTATTAGTTGTGTGAGCGCGTAGGCTTTTTCTGGCTTCTTTGAGGCAATTCTTGGAGATGCCGGGTGAGTTCTGTTCCTCATTGCCAGACCTGTGAGGTTATTTAGGGAGGGGTGACTTTCAAGGTCTTCTGAGGTTTTACCACCTCCTGTGGTTCACCTTTTCCTTTCCAGACAGCTCAAGGAGCTTTAAAGGTGTGAATTAGAGAACTAAGGAGAGTCCCCATGATGCTCTCTGAGGAGTGGGAGCATCTCTTGTTTTTCCTGGGAGGAAAGTCAAGGAGAGAGGAAAGTGGAGAGGTTCCAGTCATAGCTTGAATGAGTCATGGTGCACGTGGGGTGGGGTTGGGGCAGGGGCAGGTGGAAGAGCCTATTTCCTTTCCTTCTACAACCCAGCATGACCCAGTGGGAGAATGGTTTGGAGGTCAAGGCAGAGAAGGACTGCTAGAGCTTGGTCTGTGTGTGTGTCCTAGCGTTTTCATGCTTTCCTTGTGTTTGTTTCTGTTGTAAACTCCAAACAGATGTCTCTAGTTTGGCTACACCCGATCAGCTGGAAGCTGTAATGAGATTCTGCCCAAACTGTGCGGTCTGCAAACTATTTTTTCCCTTTGCCCCTATGGGCCCCTTTTCCTATGATGCAGAAATTGATCACTCTCCTGGCCTTCCCTAGTGTAGTGTCCTGAGGCCCTTGGTTTTGTTTTCATCATAAATACGTTCTGAGCAGCTAGACCCAGTGATCCTAAGGAGTCTGGAATTCACTGGAGCCATAGAGGAAGGGGGGAGGTAGATTTTCTCCCTAATTAACAGGAGTGGTTCAGGCATAAGATGATCTTTAGAAAACCAAAGGGTGGATGGGTGGGTGGGAAGTCGAAAAATATTCAGTCACTTTCTGAGGGCATTAGAACAAGGCCTATCTTATATTTCTCTTCTATTATATTTTGGTTTGGTTGAGAGTCCCTATCCCTTTTGCTGAATACCTCAGCTACACATTATTGGATGATGTTTTCAAACCCCCAGGTAGAGGGCAGGAAAGTCAGCTGTGGGTCATCGCTAGTTTGCATGGTTAGATTTCACATTTCAGTAATTTCATATTTCGGGTTATTTCCATGCACTGCCAGTTCCTTTGCTGTTTAAAACTGATGAGAACATTAATCACGGTGAAGATCATTTGATGAATACTTGGGGGTGGGGCAGGGTCTTCATGTCTTTCTTCTTAATCCAATTGATGTGTCCAGTGAGAATGCCAAGGTGGCTTTCGTCTGTGACTGATGGGGGTATGGTGATTGGTCAGAAAGTTCAGACAAGTGACATTTACACCAACACCATCAATAAATATAAGGCAACTGTCTCTTTAAAGTCTGATTTTTCCTGTTATCTGATTTATAAATATGGAAGGGGTGTTTAGGGGTTGAGAAAGGAGAAAGAAGAAAATAAGCAGACTGCAAAAGAACCGGCTCTCTCTTTCCC